TAAATCTTATATGTATATGCATTTTGAATTAAAAAATTTACTTCTTTCCATTTTCCACATTTAAATTAATGTTTTTGTAATTACATTTTTCCATTCTCAACTTAAATATTAATCTGGAGATACTTAATGCTTATTCTAATATAAAAATAATTAGTAGTTGAGATTAAGGCAAGTTTCCTTTGAATTAATTATACCAGTTTAATTTTTTCAGATAATCAGTTACAATTTTAGTTAAACTCCTTTAATTATCTAAATATAACCCATATTCTTAGAATTTCCAAAACCTAAGTCAAATGATTTCTTAAATGTATCCTAGGCATATTATTCTTTCTTCTCTTCTTTTTTTACATATCATTTATTTCCTTCCAAATAACTTTTATAAATCTCTTATATTCCTTTTTCCAGTATTTTCTAAAGATTTTATATACTTTTGGTTATTGATTTAATATAGAATAGTATAAATTATTAATTTAATAATAATTACTTCATTATTGAAAATCAATTAATCCTAATTTAGTAGACTCTAATGACAATACTAGATCTTAATGATTAATAGATAAAAACTTAGCTACTTAAATTTCTATTCTTTCTTCTATATTGAATTAATAGTCCTCGGTTTTTTTTTAATTTCATAATGTTCTATATTTAATCAAGCCATTAACTTTATCCAATTTCTTAACCACACTAAATCAAATTTTTTTTATTCATCACATTTATCATAAGCTTAAAAATTTTCATTTTTATGTAATTCCTATTTGCTTTATTTCTCTAAAATAGGATTACTTCTTCAGAAACTACAAATATTCTTAAATTTTATCTTTCTAAAGACCCGACAAGGTTTTTCTTACTTAAATATTCTTATCATATTCTTTAGTTTAATAAATATTTAATTAAAATATTAAAACAAATCTCAAATTGTTCATTGCTTGGAAAATACAAAAATTTTAGAGCTAAATAGAAATTCCTCTATTAGTATTTTATTATTAGGAGATAAAAATTTCAATCTTTGAAACTATAATTCAATTTTTTATTAATTAAGATTTTAAATTCTTATTAAATAA